TCGGTATTTAGCTGATTTAATAAATCTTTTTCAATATGCAGCAAAGATAAATTAGTAAACCTTTGCTGAAGCATGCTTGATCTTAGCCACTTTTTTATCCGCCACATTGTCGAAAAACTTCGCAAGTATCGGAGCTTACCGTAATTCTAATTGCGATTTTCAAAAGTCTGTGTAAATTTATATTTTCAATCATTAATATGCAAAGATCAAAGATTATATAATAAAGATTTACCCAATAAAACGTTATTTTCAGAGTTGATACAAAATAATATAATTTTTTTAAAAAAATTAAAAAATTTTTTTTTTTAAATAAAAGTAACTCGTTAAACGTACATGTGATGCAAGCAGCTGTTAATTATATACAAAAGTAAAATTAAAAAATATTGATAATGGAACAATTTATTTAATTTGCCAGATCTACCTGTTACACTCTGTAGGTTATCGACACATACTTTAAGATTGGAAAGTATCGTCTATGATGTTCCAAAAAAGATGTGAAAGTCATCAACATTCTGGAGGCTGGTCCCTATTCGTAATAGTTATATTAATTTATAAGCCATTAAATCATAACTAGAAAAAGAGATCTCCACCCATTACCTGTAGGTCTTATAGGCCTATGCACATGCCTACCTTACTACCTGTTGTACGTCTATAAACCACATTATCTACGAGACTATACACGTCATGACTTTAAATGTATAAATGCATTGCGCACACATATTTCATACACTCATCGCACGATATTATGTTTAAACTGCCCCTCGCTCATCCATAGTGGGCGGCTGCGGTCGGATACCGCTCGGTGGAAATCCACCGGTCTGATACGTTGTTGATTGTTGAATGTGTCATAATAATATGGACTGTAAACCACGACGGTCGATGGTTAACTGGGAGTTTACCAATTGCGCTCTAAACATTTAAAGGTCGATAGACCAATTGTGCCCTATACATTTTACATTAACTTAGGAAAACTTATATTATTCGATTAAATATATATATATGTACATATTTTTGGTTTTTATTACATATTAACCGATTTTTTGCGAGTGTTAATGCATAATATAATATTGTGAGATGTATTATACAGTTTTATAAGGTTTAATTTTGAGTTTAACGTAATCACGATGTTTGTATTTTGCATGCTTTAATAATAATAATATTTTTTTAAATAACAATTTGAACATGGCATTATAATTTAGAATAATATAATTTGGTTAGTTTACAAAATAATATATTTGTTAAATACCTAATACATTTTTTCACTACGAGGAAAGGAGAATATAATCATAAGTATAACAGGGCAATTACATTAAATATTAAAATGTTTAAAAAAATGTAATTATAAATATAAATAATATAAAAATAAATGAATAGGTACACTAATAATCAGTAACAATATTTTGATGGTTAGGTTAGGATATGTAGGGATATGTGAGTGATAATAATAATGTTTCATAAAATTCCCGATACTTTTATAAAATATATTAAAACCAGTCACTTTAGCTAGTAATCAATTGATCAATAAATATCAGGCAAATTTGAATACAAGCGCAATTGGTATATTGACCTAAAATATAAAGAGCGCAATTGGTACACTAACCGTAAAATATAAGAAGCGCAATTGGTACGCACTGACCCAAACCTATATGCAGCGCAATTGGTATATTGACCCTAAAATACAAATTTGGTTTTAGGCGCAATTGGTCCATAGCCGGTCAACTCGGTCAGGATGCCAGGTAACCCGACATTAATTATTTTTGTCCGCGATGGTGTCCAAAGTGGTCGAACTCATGTCTAGTGCCTAGTGATGGTATAACATATTCAGCTTCGTCTTACACGTTACGTCGTAGCGATCTCCGCGCATTATATAGTTTAATGTCCGACTAGGTTTGACCAAAGGACACGGAAGACGACATAGTTTTTTTGGACTTTCGCTCATCCTGGATACCTTTGAATATCCGTTTGACAGTAGCACGAACTAAGACATACTAAGATATATCTTAGTTCGTGGACACTGGACAGTAGATATAAAAAATAGGTACTTAACCTCCATAATATTCTATATTTTTTTTTTTTTAAGAATGCATGAACACATTTTCAACATTTACTTTTGTGGATGTGGGGCTGTCGAAATTGAATGTTTCATGTTCTATGTTATATCACTTAATAATAATAGTTATGGAACAAATGCACTTTACCACGCCCCTCACAAATTTCAAATTTTTTTTTCAAAAAGACGTTGTAACGCTGTTTTCGAAAGTGTTTGAATTTTTTGCAGAAACCATTATTTATAGCCATCCAGAGTTTGAGATTTTACCATGCGCTCTACACTACTTTACTGCCAAGTAGAGCCTGGGAATTTCAACAATGTTGTAAAAAGGCGCATATTCTGCTTGCGCTGCGCTCGTACAAAAAAATCGAAAACATCCCTCGGCTTGTTGTGTGAGACCACCTCGGGGAGTCCTCAGAATTAAGCAGTTTTTGGAGATGTCAATAGACTCGATGGCCAGTCTGTTAAACTAACATAAGTATGTAAGTATATTATAGTAATATAGTGGGCAGTCTTGAAGCAAACTTGAGTTGCTCCGCGTGGCACGTATGCGTATATAAACGTAAAATCGCTAACTTTAGAAGGCTATAATACTTCCAAAACAATAGTTTCAGCAAAAAATTCAAACAGTTTCGAGACACGTCTTTTTTAAATAAAGTATAAGAAATTCGTGAGGGGCGTGGTAAAGTGTATTTTGCCATTTAGTTATGTTATGATATATAAATATAGAACATCATACAGAATTAGTCGGGGAAGAAAGTGATAGACATCTTTCGGTGACGAGCCTATAGTTAGGAAGCAAAAAATATTTTTAAAAAACAATTTGCAGGTACTATAAACCTGCAAGTTAGGTAACTAGATATTAATATTGTAGGGCCTCAGATTTACTTTTTCATCAAGTCTCTATAATTGTCTCTAATATTCTAGTATCGCCGAGGATACCTACCTACAATGTACATAATACTAGTCCAGTCTCGTCTTCATCGATAACTTAAACTTGATAACTCCCGTTTTTTCCTTTTCTCTTGAAGTGTCTTAAGTTATATTTGAGCCTTAAGGTATAACCTTATACCTATACCTAACTTGAAAAATACCTATATGAAGTGTTACCTAAAGACTCCAGTCAATGAAACTCGGTACAGTATTTTATTTTTTTCTATTAGGTATTCTGTATCTATTTTTAACGAATTTAAACAAAATGGTAATGCAAGACATCCTGTATAATGCGAATAGACATAGTACCTAGTTAATATATTATAGTGAGTTATACATATAGGTAATAATATACTCAAGTCAAAACAGTAACTAGTCAAACATATCTCATCACATTAGATACTAGGTACGTATTAAACATTTCACAATTTTAGGAAAGATCATTAATATTATGACCTATTCATTGGAGCCAATATATTTTTCATTTATGTCGAAACTTAGCCATCTAAAGGAACAACAGATCGCACTTCGATAGACATTGAAAGGGATGAAGGGGGATGAATTTAAAATTCCATATCAATGCATAATTCGCAATGCGACCATTATCAGGAAACTACATGGTGTAAGTTTCAAGTTTCTAGCACCAAAAGAAGTGCGCCAAAAAACGTAGCATTTTTTTCGTTACGTATAAACATTTTTTTTGACCTCCAGACATACGACATTAATGTTAAAAGATTTACTTGGGCTAAAGTCTAAATTTGAATATTTTCAATTGATATAGGTACTCTGATTAATTGCTGATGTAGTGTGGTATAAACTATAAGTGTACAACTTATAGTATACGCGGAAACTTGGATTAAGGGGGAGTGACATGGCCCCGAGCTTGCAACAGATATCGAACAACGGTGGGCAGTTGGTGGGTAGTAGGATTCCTAAAATGTATGAATAATGGATACATTATTACTATTTAGCCCCTATGTAAATACAAAATTCGTGTCGAGATTGTTTTCAACTTTTAGCAATCTGTACTTTTTTTCAGTCTTCAACAAACTCCAATAGAACTTGTAGGGATGATACTCCTTGTTTAAGAATTGTCATAAATTAACAGAATCAATTGATTCACTCCGAAAATTTGAAAACTTTTTTTTGTTAGAAACTTATACATTCTTAAGACTGTTAATTTAAGAATCGAAAATTGAATGCAATATTCGTAAATTTTTCTAACTTTGACTAAAATAAAAGTTTAATGGAGTCACATACATTTTTATGAACGTTTGAAGTTTAATTCGTACATTTTCAATTTTTTTGGCTGAGGATTGAAAGTTTAAACTAGGTTTATCACGAGTACCTAGTTTATACTGTGGCCAAAAAATTTTAACAAATATAACATATAAACATATTTTTTATATCCAACGTCAAACTGACTTTAGTCGCTCAAAAGAAAACTAATGGGAATTTACACTCAACTTTAAATAAAAGTACCCATGAAAAAATGTACAATGCCCACAAAGAATTAGACACTGTACACATACTCTGGATAAAATATACACATTGCCCGAATTAATATAATTGTACACCATTTCAACCTTAGTATAAATGTTAATAGAAATAAACAATTATTTTCTCCAATAATAAAATCTTTTTATGTCAAAACAATTATAATTTTGTAAATAACATTTTTTTTGTCAGAACATATTCTTGTTTGATGACAGAAAATTAATTTTAAACTAGAATAATTTGTATAATATTTGTACTGAAGCAAAGTTTAAAATTGAATGTAGTTATAGACACACAATTTTCAATTATACATAGTTATAATACCAAAATTAATTTGTAATAATCAAATTTTCAAAAAGAGTGTAAGGCCAAAAAAAAGAATGTGGACCATATTTATTTCCTTATTCAGGAAACAGCTTTAATATAAATTAATTAATAGAACTAGCTTTACAAAATATAAATTCATTAAAAAAAAAACTGTAAACAAATATTTATAAAATTATAAATAACTGAACTCCAAAAAAATTAATATGAAAAATTGATAAATGTTTAGAACTTCATTTCTAATTTATTCAAAAAAAAAATGTTGTGTAGATCGTTGAAATAATACAGTCTATATTTCAGCTATTTTTTCATATTCCTTAATAAACAGTTCAAATGAGTCTTTGCTTATAACTTTCTCTTGATAGAGCTTATTAAACAGTTTTAATACCATTCCTAAAAGAAAAACAATATCACATCTTTATTAATGAAATTAAAAATTATGTGGGTAATAACTAACCTCGAGGATGTTTAAGTGTAGCAGACATTATTTGAATGCCAAACATACATTGTACTTCTCTTAACTGTATTTTAAGTTTTGGGAGTGGTTTAAAATTAATGTAGCGGGTCAACAATTTCACATGAACATGATCAAAGAAATCCTCATATGAATGATTTAACTCTACAAATTAAAAATTAATATTGGTTAATCGAACAACTACTTTACTATACATTCAGAAGTATCTAGTGACTTACTCAAACATAAAATTACAAGAGCTATAGTCAATGCTCGCACAAACCGAGAGCTTTGTATGATTTCTGCACTGATATTAGTCTAAATTTTTAAAAAATGAAATATTTAATAACAATGTTTTATTATTCATGCATAATACAACAAACAATACAATAATTTAAATTGATTCCTTAATTATTTTACTTACACATATCCAGTTTTGCAGATTATCGTACAGTTCTTTATCATCAGTTAACTTAATTTTATCATAAATATAAATAGATAAAAGGAATACTCCAATTTGCTAAAATGTTATGAATATTATATTATAAAATAAACGCAATAGAATAAAAATACACTCATTTATTAATTATGTTTAAAAACTTACATCTTTTTTAAAATATTTATTTATTTGATTATTGGGCATAAAGACGTCAAGGGAAACATTTTCTAACATATTCCACTTATTGTAAATCCACAATACACCACGTAGTTCCTAAAATTACAAAAATAGTAATATCAAACGTTTGCGGAGAATCAGATGATTTTACTGTTACAGGTAATAATAATCTTGTACATCAATATTATAAAAGTTTATAATACCTAAAGCTGCTAGAGAAGTACTTTAAAAACTCTCTAAAAAGTGATATTACTGTAACACTTATAACAGCAGTGAAAATTCTAATGCTTTCTTATGAAAGAGCAATTGGCACATCTATATCAAGCATAAAATTGCACAATTGGGCTATGTCAATTTAGAGTGAAATAATGTAGAAAATATTGTATTTATAAACCCACATACACATGGTATAAAATATTTTTCCTGACTACCCAATGTGTTCAAAAGAGTATTATAATACTTTAGTTTCTGAGCAGAACAATAAATGTATTAGTTCTACAATTTGTTTTTTTTGCCTGTTCACCTTTTGGTTAAGAATCAGGAAATCATTCACAGGCTTTCAAAATTGCTGACTTTGGTAAAAACCAATGAACAAAAATGATAAATTACAACAAAACGTACATAATATTAACAGTTTTTATTTATTTTTATTTTGACTACGGGCGTGGGCCGCTATTTTGTGACCACTGGTATAGCTAGTACTTAAATTAATTTCCATGTGCAATACAATTACTCTATAACTTACTCTACTCGTTCAATATGCTAGGTACTCAGTATTGGGTAGTAAAATAACGTAAACCATAAATTACTGTAACAAAATTACTTTTGTAACTGTAGTTATTTCATTATATTTTGTTAGTTAGCAGTGTTATTTTCAACTTTATTAAAAAAAGTTACGAATGTACATTGTATGACAAAATCTAGAGGTTAAGATACACAAAAAATTAAAAACAACATAAAAAATGAGATAAATCTCAAAATAACGGTGAAAAATCAAAGTTATTTTGCTACAAATAGGATGTTCAAGTCAAGATTAAAATAAAACTCTACTCTACACACCTTTGTCCTATGTAAGGATGGGAAACATGGTTAATGACAAATATCAATGAAAGAAAACTATTAAGGTTTAAAAGATTGTGAGAAAAATTTATGAAACATATGAAATATGGACTGATATATATGAACGAAGGAAAAACTCAGACATTGGAAGTCTATTTAATAGACCAAACATTTAAAATTTTATAATATCCGAAAGCCCTGATTTTATCTATAATGTTATAATCAATCAACCATCTAGAAAGAGCCCACAAAGAATACCACAATACAGTTGTATGTGCCGTGCAAAAAATGATGGATAGAACGGTAAGAATAGGAGATGCAGAAATCGTTGGAGACTTAGTGGAAGCTGCAAGGCTTGTACAGCAAAAGAAGAAAAGTAGAACTGAAAACTATAGTGTCACATACTTCTTTAAAGTTCTGCCTCTTCTTGAAACTAATAATTTTGTATAATATTTCAGTGAACAATTTACTAGAATTGTCTGGTCGTATGGATGTACATGAATCTTTTAAACTATTGAAGTCGAAGGAAGCATTCGGTGATGATAATAGTGGAGCTATAAATGAAACATTTTAACTAATAAGGTTTGTATGTTTTAAATAATTGATAAAAATTATGAATAAAAAATTACCAATAATGGCAGCAATATAGGAGAAAAATTGAGGATAATCTATCGAAAAATCATTCCAACATTTTAGAATATCATCAAATCTGCAAAAACAAAAATATTAACAAAAATAAGAATGTTTTATAATTTTGAAAAAAAATTAATAACCACCCTTGAGTGATGGCCGCCATAGAAAGAATTTTTTTAGATAAAAGTTCTGCAAAAATCATTCCTGCCTCTGTTGTTTGAGTAATAGGACTATCTAAAGTTATAAGAGACATCGATTTCACAAATTCTTCATACTTTGTGTGGGTTACCGAAAATTCATCTTCAGATATTGAATGGATTATATCCTTTATAAATAGAGCAATTAAATCATGATTATAATTAATATTTATGTCTTGAGTACATACATCTAAATTTTGAAGGCGCTCATATTCTTCAAGTATGTTTTTACATTTCGTATACATTTTAAAATCAACTGCTGTGTTCTTCAATAACACTGGTAGTTCCATAGACTTTAAAAGAAAGTTTATTGTTTAATATTTTAGATAAGTTTTACAACAAGTATTAATGTTATTGGTATATTACCGATATTTTATTATAAATGTGAAGATGATATTCTTCTTCTTCAGGTATATTTTTAGCTACTAACATAGGTTGTTGTTCATTTGATACATTCTTTATATAATTGATTAATATTTGATAAGCATCATAACGATCATCATTCCAATTATTTATACGTACAATGTACATTTATGACATCTTTGAGCATAAGAATTATTTTTAATGGAATCTTAGACTTCGTGTTTTTGTATGCTAAAGCATTTAATTGATCAAATATATTATTTAAATTACATGTCTGAAACAATAAAATATATTTTATTAAGTAACAATACAATTAAATAAAACAAAACGTGAATTATGTATATTTTTAATATTGTAAACAAGAATGGTTTAAATTCAAAAATTAAAAAGTCAAAATATAATGAATACTTATTTACTTCAGGGTATTAAGTTTACCCACAATACTTGTTATTGAATTGTAAAATAAAATTGATGATAAATAGGCAACATATAAAATCAGTATATATGTAATAAAAGAAGCTGACTTAAGAAGACCTTCCACAGCATCTGGTATCTCAGTCTTACATTTGTACTTAGCTCATTTTTGTCGTCACCTTTACTCTGTATCAAAAGAGAATTATCATTTTTTAAGCATGGTGAATGATGCGATTGGCAAATTGAGAACCATGTGATCAAGCTAACACCGGAAAGTTGGTGAGAGATGCGCAGCACAGATGTAAATTGGTCTGACAACTGATTATTCTCTTTTGAGACAGAGTAAATAATAAAACATAAAGGTAAGAATCTGTGTTTGTATATTGCATGTCAGTTGTTAATTGGCAATTTTAAGATTTAAATTTTAAGTAATATATATTTTCATCTTAATTAAAAATAAAATAGTGTAAAAAACAATACGAGACATAAGAATATAAGAATAGTGTTCTTACCCTTACCTTCAATTTTCAAAATTACCATAGATATTTATAATAATTCACTATAAACTCATGATAAGTTATACTGATGAAATTTGCTATGTTGTATGTTTGAAAGACAGAAACAGCATATAAGGATGTGTTGTCATTTTAGGTACAATGCTACGCATAGACAAATAATTGGTCATAGAAATAACTACTATTGTATATTATATAAGTTAAAATATAAAAGTTTATAGGTATTTAGGATTTTTAGGCTGAAACAAAATTATAAAATGCAATAATATTTCATGATCTCATAATGATAATCAAACATAATATTATATTAGGGCACTAATATTTAAGAATTAAAGTATAATTAAGTATAATTATACTACAAGTATAATAATATTATGTTTACATTTGCTCACACCTAATCCCGTAATATAATACATTCCTACATCTCCACATAACCCTGATAACTTGTAAGTAATATGAAAACCATCTGTATCACAGGTAGGAGATACCATATAGGATAAAAAGCCCATAATCCTTCTGTCAAATAATACAGATTTTACTTCTTAAAAATAAACAAAATAATTCAACTGAAAACTTTAATATGAAATCAACATAATAATATGAAGAGTAATTTTACCTGTTGTAATTCTTTTCCGGCGGTCTTTAATAAAACGCATAAGCACTCGAGTGGTTCTTCAAAATGTTTAGAGCTTAAATTATCGATATGATACATCATGATATTTGGAGTAATAATTTTTTGTTTGAATAATTCACCCATAAATCTAAAAAGAGTAGAAAAAATTAATTTGATAATATTTGTTTCTATTTGACTTTTTTTTTACCGGCAATTTCTTATAGAACGTTCGTGTGATGTTCTTTTATTTTTTTCATATTCTAGTTTAAGCTTTTTTTTCTTTTCCTGAAAAATATAATCAATACAAATAAACAATGATTATACTTAAATGTGTTGATATTATTAACATAACTGGTTCTTTGCACAGAGTTAGTTTCTTAGCAAAATCCATTTCCTGGGCCAAGTCTATTTCAAACAGACTTTCACATTTACTTATAAGCAACTTCTTAAATGTTACTTCTTTACCATTATTGGAAATAACTTCAACAGATTGCATTGCTGTACATAAAGATGAACAAAGTGGTGCAAAACCTCGTTTTTCAATTGCCTGGAATTTAATAAGAAAATTAATTCTGTTTAATTTGTGTGAATAACAAATTAACAATTAAATAACTAATAAAAGATTTCTAAAATGGTATGAAGAGTTTAATAATTGATAAATCATAGAATGTTTAGGGGGGAATTTGTTACTACCTACAAATATACAATTATTATAACCTCCTACTTTAATTCACTATCAAACACTTAAAAACCCACATACATGAATTATACAATAGTAAATTTTAAACATAATTATAGGAATAGATTCAAGTACCGATACAAAAAAATTGTTCTTGTTTAAAAAAAAAAAATCACTCATAACCATCATAATGAAATAAATTACTAAAAAAATGTCCATATTAATAGTTATACATATTGATTAATCAATATTTGTACAAAATATTTTACACTTAATATAACTTTATATATATATTACCTTTTCAAAAACTAAACTAACAGCAGTTTCTAAGGCTATAATATTATTTATAGGCAACGTTTTAAAATGCTCAGTTAATGAATACATATTGTCAGGACATATTTCATTTAAAATTGATCGGACGCTTATACTTATTTCCTGTAAAAAAATTAATTACATAATATACATAAAATACATAACAATAATTTTGTTTTGTTTAAAAAAAAAATGTCAACATTGTCATTTAAATTGAATAGATAACTTCTATTTTTGTTATGCACTTAATTAAACATAGAAAAGTTTAATTGAACTGTTTATTTTAATAAACTGAAAATATAATGAATAAATAGTGTACTAATGAGTAATGAGTAGGGCTGGGAACATATTGCACTTAAAAAGTACTTTTTATAAAATTATAAATATGGAAAAAGCAAAGTAATAAAAATAATTTTGATTTTTAATTTTTGATCATAATTTAAACAACAAAAAAAATACATAAAAATTGTTATCAATTAATATTATTGACACTAAATTAATCAAGTTTTTATAATCCTACTCAACATAAGAGTTTAAAAAAAATCTACTTTATCGGGTAACCATTTTTTTAGAACTTACATATTTTAACAAGTTAAGAAAGATAGCACAATCACAATTTAGCACTTTTGATTAATAGACATTATTTTTATATTTGAATACATTAGATTTAATTAATTTAACAGACATAGGTACCCGAATTAGGATCAGGGAAGCATAAAGTAATCATCTGGGCTCGGGACTTATAGCACTTAAAATCATTAAAATAAGCGTTTAAAAACATCATTATAAGCACTCAAATAAGCATTTAAAAAAACTTAAATTTAAGCAAAAATATTTATTAAAAAAAAGCTAAAAATTCTATATAAAAAAATCGAAAAATCAATAAATAAATCTTTATTTTTATATAACACTACATTAACCCTGCAACGACGCTGTGGACAGCGACGGACTAAGTGACAGCGTAGATAAGATAAGAATTATTTTTAATTTTAATTCTACCAAAAACATTTTACAGGAGAAAACCATAAAAAAAAGTAGAAAAACTGGTCAAAAAAGCAAAAAAAAGCACTTTCAAATTTCATAATTGAATGGGTATGAACATGACATACACTTCCATAGCACTCTGCTACATTTTAAGTCATCCCATAAAAATAAGCAAATGCTTAAAGTCCCAAAGCCTGGTAATCATATTATAAATGTATGAAAGTTAAGTATAGTTACCTACCTACTTGGTTGAAATAATTTTAACTTATACAGAATGAACAGTTACTTATATAACTTTAAAAAGTAACTCGTAATTTTTGTTGTAACTATTTACAAAAGCTACATTGATTTATGTACAATTTATTAAGTTACATTTAAATAATTATGATATTTTATATTATAAGTCTTAGTTATTTAAAATTATATTTACCTGAGCTTGCGAATACTGTACGGATTTTGTGAGTAAACTACTTTCATTTATCCATTTATTGACTAGTGGTTGGGACACATTTCGAATTTTTTTTTTTCCTGCATTATTTATATTTTCAACTTCATGGTCAGGAGGATCAAACATTCTAATAGTTTTTTTCTTTATAGAATTAGAAACTTCAGGAATTTGCATTTGAGTAGTTGATGGTTGCTGAGGTACTTGTTTCAAAGACTGTGTATTAGACACCATATCCATTGGTTGAGACTGTACAAAAATAAATTTACATGAAAATGTTGACCATTACTCATACTAGTTATAGAGAGACTCTTGACCAGACTCTGTGCTGATGTTAGGACTTATATGTCATTAAGTCAATACTGCTAAGGCGTTAAACTGTAGATCATCAAGGTTTTAAGTGGATTCATGGTAAAAAAAAACCCTAAAAATTAATGTAATTACTTTTAAAAATGTTATTGTGTATACCCAGGGCACAGGGGAAACATAGCTCAAGTTACAAGTTACATTAATGAAAATTACTTTATACATAATTTTATTATAGGTATGTATTGTTTCATTGGTTTGTTAACAATATTTTAATTTTGAAGCAAATTATAACCATTAGCTAAGCAATCTTATTTAACGATAAGGACCAATCATTTGACATAATATCTGTTTTTATTTATCTAGAATCTCATATAGTACACGCCAACATGCAAGGGTAGCTTTTGCAGAGAAGCTTTGTGCTGAAGCTTCCCATGAGCTTGATAATATGAGGCTCAGTCCCCCATGGTTCTTACATAAGAAATATAAATAATTGTAATGTATTTGAATCATTTTTGGGATTTATTGAAACCAAATAACACTGATGCTGCAATGTTGTATTAATTATAAACTAAAGTTTTATCTTAATTTTAATTGGATATGTCAAATTATTGAGGATAGTGTTATGACAGTGCTATAATTAACAGAAGTGGATATATTACTGAGCGTCTCAGAAGAGGATAAATTATATAGTATGTGCATTGTATGTTGAATGTCTATCAATTTGAAATATTTATTTTTGTCCTTGCAGCCTTGATAAGATCTACTATGAGTCAAACATAGTTGAATGATATTTCCAATCTTTATTTTTATTGTGATGAAGAAATAAATTTAGAAATTATTGCAAACCATATCATTAACAATTTCAAAGTGTGGAAAAATAAATTTCTAGTCATTAAAACTATGTATAAGTACCTATCATGACATTTTTAAAACTTGGTGCCAATGCCAAAAAAATATTACAATTTATAAGTGAATGAAATTTTAAAATGTTCTTGCTTTTAAGTATGATCATAATGTGTTAATATACTACAATATAGTAATACAATTAAACTAATACAAACAAATAAAATTGTAATGAATAATAGTTTTAAAGAGTTATAACTTGGACTTGGAAGTTGAAGCATTTTTTTTTTTGAACCCCTTAAATGATGCTTTCTCAGCTGAAAATGTGTTTTAATAGCATGCAAATCTGAACAACTAATTTTTAATTTGCATTTTTTTTGCATTTTCTGGCTTTTTTATGTTGTAGGTCATCCTTTGACTTTTTCGGTAATTTAAAGAAGCTTAGCTTCAAATGAGTGTTTTTCTAATAACTTCAGTGATGAAGATTTGGCTCATTTAAAATGTCCTCCAATCGCTTCAGTGGATGTAGAGGGAAGTTTTTCTAAATATAAAAATGTATTATCCGATGATTACCGTTCATTTAATTTTGACATTAAATATGCTCTAATAATGCAATGTAATAATGTTAAGTACCTAATTTGTAAGCAAGTTTGTAAGATTTTATAAATCAAACATTTTTTTAAATTTTAAACTACTACCTATTTGTAATTTTTATTTCATATTTGAATTTCTTTGGGTCATTTTTTAATTGTTTTAAAGTTATCAATTTCCGAGCCCTAGTTATAACTGTAATTGAAATTTGTTGAGATAAATCAAAACAATGGATATATTTTTTAGTCTTAGGTAGGTACCTAGAGTCATTAAATTATCGCATAAAGAATTTATTGAGTAACTTTTTGTAGTGTATTTTAGACAGAATAAGGACTTCTCATGTGACCCTATGTTTGTTTTAAATTTAATACATTCAAGTGAGTGAGGGCAGTCAATTAAGGTCTCCTCACACTGCAGAAATAGCAGAAGGGTGGCGGTAGCGGTAAAATGAGTCCGGACACAATTTACTGCCACTGCTGAGACAAAGGAATTTTACTACTACCGCTACAGTATTTGGGGACTTTTATGCTGTTTAATAATTTAATAGAAATTTTAATTCATTTTTGTTTTATAGAACTCTTAATTTAAAAATTTAAAAATCTTTCAAAATCCACACACAAAAATAATGTGAAATTATTTTGCCATATAATTTAAATGAAAGAAATCTAGGGAAATTATTTGAAATTTTGGATAAAAAATGTACAATGCTTGACAAGAATTGTGAAAATCGCAAAAATGTCCTAATTATTTTGTAGTTAAAAATGTTAAAATGTTCAATTTTATAGTTAAGGGTTGACATTTTAAAACAAGGTACCCCAGAACTAGTTCTTACTATACTTAATGACATTTAAAAAATATTTGGATTAATTTTAAGCTAATAATTATACCATGAACTCATTCAAGACAAATGTCGATTCAAAATGTATCCACATTATTTCTATATTAACAAATGTAAAAAAAGATTTAAAAAATTAGTTACATTCCATTCTTGGAGGCTGTGCCTAGATTGTGTCACTCCATTTTGAAATTCATAGTATTCAACTAATATTATATTATTCATTTCATTAATTACTAATTCATGAGGTATAAATGTAGGATAGTGTTTAGTAATTCTCCAGTTTTTTGTTACTATGTGGTAGTCTGGCACTTGGTAATTTAATATAAAATTTCTATTCACATATAAAGCCTGAAAATGTTTTTCAAAATAAGAAACTTAAATTGTGTACAATAAGTCATATAAATGTCTATTTAGTTTTACCCAAATTAATACTTACATTTACTTCTCTCATCCAATTTCCCACTATACCCAACAAGACATCATAATCCTGGGGGATTTTTCCAAATAATATGTGCAGAATTTGCCTTGCCACGTCAGTTCTCTGATTAAACCTAGTCAAACTGCTTAAAAACAATTTTATGTCCACTGTAGAAATTTTACTATAAGGTTTATTTAAGTGCTGGCTAGTGAAAGCCCTCACGATTATCGCTGTTAGTGATCTGAAATGCATATTATTCAAATATTAAAAAATACTTGAAACACCAGAAAATGAAAGTATAATTATTAATTTAATTTTAATAATTGTACTGAAAATAGTAAATACGAAAGTAAATAATTTTTAAGATATCACTTTTTTATTTAACATTTTAACAGTTCACACTACATAACGTCCAACACTGTTAGTTTATATACACAATAACCTATGTCTATTTCTTATTTATTGTTCTATATAATACTTTACTTATTTATTGTTCTACTAATAATCTAATATTTTATGTTTTATGCAAGGTGGATATCCACCTTGGTTTTATGCTTCAACTTAAAAAATAATAACATCAGAAATCAGAAATGTTCGCAACTACCAACTTAAAAAGTAAAAATCCCATCAATCTATCTGCAACTGTACTACCAACCTATTAAAGAAATTTGTCGAAATACCGAATTCTAATTTATTTATTTTCCAATTCAAATTCAAATATTATTGTTAATAATTAATATAATTATTTAGTTATCCAAACAATACACAATGCACATATTAAAATTCGTTAAACCACAATACAATTTTGAGTCTCGAAAACCAAAATAAGTAAAGTATCATGGTCGTAGTATGCATGGGGGCTGTGGGGGCTACAGCCCCCACAGAAATTTATGTAGCCCCCCCCAATCCCCGACCCCCGTGGTGTTTACTTTCAATTTTTACATTTTATCCGAAATTATAGTTTTAAATGTTATAATTTTCCCTAAAATTCGTCAAGGCTTCATAGTATAATATTAGCAGTGTAATGTTTATTGACAATACTATTGTGTACTTACATACATATACCTATTTATTTTTATCATAAATACATTTATTTATAGACCAACGCGGAAACGCCGTATTAATTATACGTCGTGTCGTGCATATTGTCGCGTCGTCCGATGAGGATAACCCGATAACATAATTGCATTATAATTGTTTAGAACACACACACATAATATTTATTTATTTCAGTATTTTTCTGAAAACCGTGGTTTGTTGTTTGCTCATGTACTGCAATCACATACGTCTTTTTTATTTTTCTTATATGATCAATAAAGAAAATTATGAAATAGATGACATCATACCTGTTGTAGACAACAATATTTTTCCAAATTTTTATAAACTTTTGCAAACTGCACTAACTATACCAATATCATCTGCCTCGTGTGAACGTTCATTTTCTGTTATGAGGCGAATAAAGAATTGGACTAGAAATACCATGACAAATGATAGATTTACAAACTTGTCAATACTTCATATCAAAAGAGATTTATCACATGCAATAGAATCAGAAAATGTGCTTAACATATTTTCAGAAAAACACAGACGCCTAGGCCTAGCTTATATTTGATTTAATAATTAAATTTTAATTGTTTTATCTTTTTTTTATATTGCAAAATAAAATGCCAGGTTAAGAAGAAAGCAAATATAAATTGTTTTTTTTTTTAGAAAATGTTCTTTTTCTTTTTAATTCCAGTTAAACGAAAGGAGTTTTTTGAATGGTATATTTTTCTAGTCCTATATAGCCCCCCCCCCCATATAATTATGCCAAACTACGCCCATGTAAAGTATATAAAGTAAAATAAAGTGTTCTTGGGACAGAAAACAAATTACAAAATTAATTTGTCACCTGTGTGTACGTACAATGTTTGAAACCTAGTACGCCTTCTTTCCCGTTATCATCAAGTAACAGTACTTTGTTATGTGGTTCCCCAGTATAACACCACTCACCCTAAACATAAATTAATAAATTTTCAAGTTTTTTGACAGAGTGAAATTTTTTTTCTCGACATTTATAAAAAAAAAATTACCAACAATTTCTTAGGACTTTATAATAGCTCAAAAATAAGTGATGAAGAAATTTTCTGGTGTCTGAAATTCAGAATATAAACTTTTTTTCGGAAATTGGCTGTGCGTAAAAATTCTCGTTTTTTCCTTAATTTATTCGCAATTGCATTGAGATTTTTGTACATATTGCGAATTGTACAATGTTGTTGTACAAAGTAACTAGATTGTACAAGTTAGGTACATTATACAATTCACGATGTGTACAATATTACATATTATTATATTAGTATATCGTATAAAAATAGATATACCTGGTCTTCACATATTAGTATACTATAGTCTATAATCATTGTACAAATCACAACATTTAATAACATATTATAAAAGTATAAAAATTATAATTTTTCGTATAAAAAAATATTATTATAAAACTACATTTTACACTGTACACATTGTGATATAAAATAAAATACTTGAATATTTAGTAAGGTATTTAATATCATCTCTTATAATTGTATGAGTTGTGTTTCCCACGTTATGTGGAATCTCATATAGTAAAGGTAAAATGCAATAAAAATGATAAAGTTTACCTATCTAAACGACTTTACGATAATGTTCAGAAATATAATTTAAACAGATTTTAGTACAGTCTATATAGTGCATTGTACTAGGAACTGCTGCAATATTTAAATTGATATTAGTGTTATTATAGTATTATACATAGGGCGAAATGAATGAAGTTGAAAATAATATAAATTTAAAAAATTTGTTTGACGAACAAATTAAAAATGTTAATTAGGGAGGATAAATTTAATTGCCATAGCTAATGAAGAAAATTACAAAAAAATAATAAAAGAGGTACTTGAAGCTAAACATCGGAAAAATTAGACTTCATTAGACTAAAGAGTAAGTATACTAATATGTAAAGGCCGCTCCACACTATGCATGTTTCGCGTTTCGCGTTTCATGTTTTCACGTTTTCGTTGAATTTCGTGAATAGTGTGAATAGCTTTTTCACGAAAATTTTTTTCGTGAAAACGGTTTCGTAGTGTTTCGCGAACGAGGCGGTAAAATGGACGAAATCAAAGGACACGAAAATATTTTTCGTACTGTTTCGTGTCGTTTCGTTGTATTTCGTTGTTTTTCGTGTTGTTTCGCGTTTCTCCTGTAAACAGGAAATTCATATCACTTGATTATACTTTGATTACCTTAATTAGGTACCTGATTACTTTGATTATCTTTAAATAAAATTAGATATTTGTAGGTAAATGGATGTTATCAAATATCATAATATCATAATATCATAATATGGAATTACGTAATTTCGTTACAAATTTAGTTCGTCAATTAGTTGTCACCATGGCGTCCGAGTGGAATGATGAACTAGTGCTCACATTTATTGACGAATTTAAAAACTATCGATGTTTGTGGGATCCAAAAGATACAGACCGCAAATCGAAAAATAAAAAAAATGATGCATATCAGAAATTAGGCTTACAATTTAAAAAACCAAAAGAAGAAATACATAAAAAAATAAACAATTTAATCCAGAGTTACAGAGGATATCGACGAAAAATAAAAACAACGAAAGTTTCTGGTGCTGGGAGAAAAGATGTGTTTAAGCCATCGTGGTTTGCATTTGATGCTATACATACATTTATGCAAGATGTATACACACCACACGGTACGGTAGATACAATGGTAAGTGTAATAATCGTTAATTATTCTGTGGCTAAAATTATAAATTTTATTTAATTCTCACTTTAAACGATAAAAAATTTATTTTTGTACAGTTATTACTGTCCTTAATATTGTCCTAAGCAGAAATTTTTTTTTTTGGTACTTTTGTTATATTATCATAATACTATTATCATTATACTACATAAAGAAAACGTCAATTTAAACAACTGGTAAAATTTTCAAGTTTCTATAACTTATACTTTTTGAATAATAACAAATATCAAAAATCGTTTGAGGCTAAACCATAATTTAACGCGGTTTTGTAAAAATTTAAATTTCAAACACTCCTAAAAATTTTTTGTCTTAGTCCGGTAGAGTTTTTTTTACAGATATTTAAAGAAAAACTTATGGACAACCTTGTACCAAATTTTCAAAACTTAGTTATAAAAGAAAAAAATTTTACGATTTTTCAACCACAAAATTACTTGCAAATTTTCACAATTTTGACATATTTCGTATAAATTTGAACTTTAAGTACTTATAAAAAAAAATTGTGACTTACGATTTTGGATTTTTTTTTATCACTTTGAGCACAACTTATGAGAAACCTTGTATTAAATTTTCAAATATTTCTAGCCAACCAAAAATTATTTATCGTTATTTAAAAAAAAAATACTTAGAAAAATTGAATATTTCAATTGTCTATAAATAACTAAAAAAAAGTCAAAACACTTTGAAAATTTAACTCTGTATAGAAAATGCTAATATAAACATTTGTTTTTTTTCATGTGCTTACAGTAATTATTTTTTGAGTTACAGAAAAATTAAATTTTCGTTTTTGTCAAAAATTGGTTTTGCGTAAAATTTCCCGTTTTTCCGTCACTTTTTTTTTGTTTTTCTCGATTTTTTTGAAAACTGTCGGAAAATGTTTAATTTTGACCTCTATAATGCACCAAGGATATTCACTTTTCCATCGGAAACCACCCCTGAAGTTTGAAATCGAAGCATTATTTCGACTAGTTATGCTGTACACAGACACACAAAAAAAAAAAAAAAAAAAAAAACAAAAAAAAAAAAAAAAAAACACACATCATTGTAAAATCAATACATTCTTCACTCCGTTCAGAATCTAAAATAATATGTCATTATTACATTTACAGATTTAAAACAATATATAATAACATTGTATAGGTAAAAAAACGTGGTAGGCAGTGAATGTATTAATTTATTTGTTTTGATTTAACTACAGAATATGTATCAAAAAACATATAATACAAGTGTTCAGTATTTACAAATTATATATATAACATTATTACTGATAATTATCTTGCCACTCTAATTTTCCAGTTGTCATAAAGTATTCAGCAAATACTTGTCGAAAGTCTTTTGCCGTTATAGATGTTTTTCTACCTCTTTTTTCCATCGATAATAATGATGTTTGCCCTTCTAGTTCATTTCTCCATGATCCATTAAATATTTGACCATTCTGTTCCGTGTCAAATGTTCCTGGTGGTGTGTACATATTTTTTGATTCTTTGCTTCTTCTTAAAAAATTATGTAATAATACACAGCATTCGGTGACTAGTCGAGTTTTATTGGGATTTAGTAAAATGGGTTTTCTTAGAACACGAAAAACTGCAGACATAATTCCGAACACATTTTCAACAGTTCTACGAGCTCTAGATAACCTATAATGAAAAATTCTTTGAAATGATCCACTATCATGGTTTCCACTATAAGGTACTAACAGATTTTCCTGTAATGGGAATGCATTATCAGCTACGATAACATATGGAACAGGCAACAGGCTTAAGTTTTTGTGGCAAACATCTTGGTGTGGATAAATTCAACGTTCCGTTTTTTAATTTCTTTGACAATGTACTATTACGAAAAACACCCCCATCTGATATTCTACCTTGTGATCCGATATTTGCGTAAGTTATATTATAGTCAGCATCACACAAGACCATTAGAACGATACTGAATGTTCCTTTATAATTAATATAATCACTACCACTATTAATAGGAGAAAGTATGACCACAATATGCTTCCCATCTAGGGCACCAATACAATTAGGAAAATTCCATTTTTTTCCATATACGTCAGCGATCTTTTGCCATTCATCAGTAGTTCTTGGAGTCTACAAAAAAAATATTTCTAGTATAATAAAATTATGTAAATATCATATAATCATAATTTATAATATTTTTTAAATAGGGAGACAGTATAGTGAAAGCAACGACGAACATGATATCAGCGATGATCCAAACAATGATAGTTACATTGAGATCACGGAAGATAATGTCGACACCACCAAAGAAGACAATAATGAAAGACAAAAAAATTTTGATTGGTCGAGTGACACTACCAATATTGAAAAAAATACATTTAGTGCACCTGCAATGGCATCCCGAAAAAAAAAGAAAAAGCCGACAGATGAAAATGAAATACGTGCGTCCCAGGCATATGAGTATTTAATGCAAAAACAAAAAGAGAGCCAAAAGAAAATGGAGAAGGACGAATATGATATTTATGGTGCTTTAGTAGCAACAAAACTCCGAAAAATAGACGAAATAACTCGTCAGTATGTGATGAATGAAATAGATAATTTGATGTTTAGAGCAATAATTCATGCAAAGCACCAGTCACAAAAATCTACAACCACATCCATCTCAAAATACCTCATTAAATTATGTACAACAACCTTATACATTTCCATCTCAATTCCAAACATTCAACTATATAAAACAACCATTTATATCGCCATCTCAATGCTCAACGTTTAGTCACACATCACAACCATCTCCATCCAATTCCTCAACACCCAGTCGTTCATCACAAGTATCTCCACCACAAGCACCACTCAATAACTCAACAGAGGCATCAACAAAAGTAGTTCCAACATTAAATTATGTACAACAGCCATATTCATTGTCATCTCAAAATACATCAAAATTAAATTGTGTACAACAACCATTTCCTTCACCATCTCAAAATACAACGTTAAATAATTTACAAGAACCATATGCATTGTCTTCTCAAAATACTACAACATTAAATTATGTACAACAACCATTTCCTTCGCCAGCTCAATACTCAATGTCCAGTCATTCA